GGGCAGGGCTTTTCCACTAGGGGGCGTCTGCAGATTTTTACGTGGGGGCGTTTTACTAGGTCGCCACAAACCTGTGCCCCGTTTATGACACTTGGGGGGGCACAGCCTGCAGTTCTGGGTCAGCTCCACGAAGCCAAAAGTTGCTCCACCCCAGAGGATCGCCACTGAGCCTTGAGATCACAGGCGGCGTTCCAGCCGGCCTAGGGCTCCAGCGGAGCCCCCAACCCCCTAGCAGCCCCCCCCCCCGCCTTCGCCTCGCGCTCAGAGAACCTCTGACTCCCCACGGGGCCCCCCACCCTGGCTGCGCAGCTGACCCTGGCTGAGCCCGTCACCCCCACCCCCGCCTCAGAAGACCCTGCTGGCCTGACCGGCTCCCCACCCCAGCGGAGCCCCCAGGCGGGCACCCCCAGCTTCGTTCCCCCCCCAAAGAAACTCCAGTTCGAGCCCCTTTCCCGCTGCAGGGAGGGGCCCCTGCCGGCCAGGGGCTGCCGGGGGTCTGCTCCGCGGGGGACCTGTTTTGGGTCCAGGGCCTGGGTGGGCCCGCAGGGGGCGCCAGAGCCTCACCGCTGAGGGCAGAAGCGCCCGTGCCAGCTGGGGGCGGGACGAGACAGCCGCGCCTGAAGCTGGTCACCGGGCAGGGGCAGGTCACGCCACTCGGCCTGGGTCCCTCCCTGTCTGGCCTGCCCTCTGCACCCCATAGTTAAAAAGGTCACAGCCCACCCCGCTTCCGCAGGCTTGTAGGGTGCGGGGCGCTCTTGCTGCTGTCGCTTGAGGTCTTCTGGAAGTCTGTGGGAACTTGGAGTTGGAGGCAAGGATTGGGACCCTAGTCCCCCAACAAAGGCAGGTGACAGCCCAGCACACCCATGATGCTCCCCTCCCCCTGGGCCTCCCCTCCAAGGGCCCCTAATCTTAGAGGTGCCCCACGGCTGCGGGGGAGGGAGCTGGACACCCCCACCGGCAGCCCTGACTGGCCCAGACTGCAGTGGCCGGTCCCAGGCCGGGGCCATCCGAGGCCGGGGGTGAGCCGGCCCTTGCCTGGATTCACCTGGCTATTGGGAACCACACACGCACCCCACGTTGGCGACCTGTGCTGACCTGAATGTCCTTGAGCCACACAGGAGGGTGCT